CTCTAGTCACAGCCGAGTATTCATTCGCTCATACTTGACGCCGACTGAATGTATTTTTAAATAACTCCTATATGCAATCGTTTGTATTTCGTATGTAAACGTTTGTAGTGAAATTAGAAAGGTTTGTGAGTCATTCGTTTGTTTGTAATTAATTATTTTTCCACCGTATACTTAGCGCCACTAGATAAATTAGATAAAGTTTTTATATGGAATCATGGTATTTCGTATGAAGACGTTTGTAGTGCAATTAAAAAGGTTTGTGAGTGATCCAGATAATTTTAATTAAATATTTATTAAATAGAAGTTAGCCGGATTCAAAATTTCATTGATTTCTTATCTATGATACTGAATGATTTAAGACATAAAGTCCGTATCAGACTACGGATTGGGATTGGGATTAGATTGAAATTTAAGCAATCACAGTAAAGTTTACTAATCTCAAGTTCAGTAACTTTTACTCTGATTGGTCAAATTTCAATCTAATCCCAATCCCAATCCGTATAGTCTGATACGGGCTTAAGAATTGCCTGTCACACCATTTCAGGACGCCTAGACCGAGGGGTAGTGAAAATAAAAATTTCAATATAAGCGTTGTATTAAATTTATAGATAATATAATTGTTCCATAAATCGCCTGTAAACTGCAATAACAACTACATCTGAGAAAGTCGATATGTCTACTCAGACTCAAAGGTAAATGGTTCAGGAAAATTAATTTTTTAGCTTTTAACTTTTTACTTTCTTTTTATTATTAACTTAACTAAGTGCATAAGCATATGCATAACGAATTTGATTGGTCCATTTCCTTATGCATTTGCTTATAGACCAATCAAATTTGTTATGCACGGAATTATTGAAACGGTTCTATCAGAATGACCCTGTGATTGGTGAGGCTGGATTCACATGGAGCGTAATTTGCGTAGCGTAACCTGCGTATCACCAATCACAGGATCATTCTGATAGAACCGTTTCAATAATTCCGTTGAAATAGTTCCGTGATTGGTGATACGCAGGTTACGCTACGCAAGTTACGCTCCATGTGAATCCAGCCTGAGTCACCTGATCGAAAACTCTGCATCCTGATTGGTTCTCATAAGCAATCCAGTAAGAAATTGTATCGTGTGCCGTTGGCTTAAGCAGTTACGACCAATAGCATTTTGGTACAAATGTTATAAAAAGTAATATGGCTGCGCGCAGAAAGTAGCGTCGCGAGCGTGAAAGGGTTAACATTTTCGTCGAATAATGAAACGGATATATAAAATTATTCTAGTGTAAGTGCATTCTCCATACGTAGAACTTAATATAGATCTTGAATACTTAAAAAAATGAAATATACTGTTGTAACATCCATAAAACATTCTCAGAATTAATCTGTGCTACATTGAATTCGAATGCGTTCGAATTTCGCGGGTGCACTTGGATCTAAATTTCATTGGATGCTGCCGTCCAATAGCTGTCAATATGCGCATTTGCCCACCTTTCTTTTTACGGCTGCGTTCGGAAACACCACCCGAATGTCCCCGTGTATCATTTTATCCTTATTTAATATTCGGTGAGCAACAAGGATAAAACGATCCACCGAAGCACTCGGGTGATGTTTCCAAACGTAGCCTACATTATGGTTATACTATAATTCGGCCTTTCAGATCAGTTGCTCTACGACGTTGCTTCTTCTTTCCTCCTTAGTAAGCCAGTGTGGTCGAAGTTGTTCAGAAGGACGGAAATCTTAGTGCCCTTGGCGGTCCAATAAAGAAGAGAAAGGAGGGATTGCGTGAATCATACCAAGTCACACGATCTCGTTTCGAGGAGACATATGTCGGTCTATCTCTCGTGATCTGTTAGTCAAAACTTAAGAAATGGGAGTCCCTTCGTCCGCGAGTACGAAAGTCGACACATTGAACGAGATCTATTATTTGAAAAGTAAGTTTGCTTCTCAGGGAATAAGACCGTGCTTTCCAGCAAGCGACACAAGTCGACACAAATGTCGTTCTGTCTTTCTTCGCATTCAATGAATAATAAAGACAGAACGACACTTGTGTCGACTTGTGTCGCTTGCTGGAAAGCACGGAGAGTGTCCTGGGCGTTTATCCGGAATAAAGACCAAGAGTAAGATGTGTAGTTTGATCCGTTTGAACTTCCGACTCGGCGAGAATACATCTCCCAAACAAGATGTTAGCGGTCTGAGGCTCGAGCATGAATTGTTTTCTCTAGTGTAATGTTTCTCGTGAAGAACGAAAAACTTCCTTAACGAATTCAACATTTGCCGATAAAAATTTTTACTTTTCACGAGTTTACGCTTGGGGAAAAGATTCACGATTGAGTCTCTGCTGTCGGTCTCGTGTATTGCGACAGATTGTGGCATCAACCGTGTTTGCATTTTATCGGCGGAACCTACCGACGTAATCTGAGATTTCCAGCGGAGACTAGCCAGAGGAATCTGTCATTTTATCGGAATCCGTTTAAGTGGAATATGTCATTTAAATGATTATAAAATGGCAGATTCTCTGCTTGGTTTTTTGCAATCTATTTTTTGGTTTCTTGCAGTCGATAGATTTTGTTCAATTTTTACACTCAAATGTCGATAAAATTTATAGCAACGCGGTGCAAAATTTGCTCCAGAAAAACATTTTAGTATAAAAAACAAAAGTATGGTTTTAGTTCGGAACAACTCTGGAGAATAGACTGCTGAGAATGCTGAGATAGCAATGGCGACATAAATAGCGCAGGTAGATCATTTGTTAGCACCACTGCTTCCACAAGTCTGCTAAATGAACAGTTTGATGACACGTTGACCCGACAGTGACGGTAGCGCGACGTTTTTTGTATTTTGTATGATGTCCTTCAATTAGTTCAAAGTATTCCATATATCTCAAAATAGGACTGTACTGGTTCTAAAAATTTATCACATCAAGCTGTCTCATTAGGATGAAGATAAGTTTTTCGATGTCTCTTGGTCTTTATTGCAAGCTTTTTCTACCTACACACAGTTAAAATTTAAAAGTTCTGTCATCGAGACAAAGCAATCCTTTTGTTCTGCTATAATATACTATTGTTATATGAGATTAACTTGTATATAATTACAGGTCGGATAGAGCAGTATAAACAAAAGGCACAGATAACCTTGCAGTCCAGTAATGAAACTAGCTGTTCGAGCAGAAAGTTGAAATTTGTAATGCCAAAAGTTCAGTCGGACCCAAAGTGTCTGGTTTGCGCTACTTCTTTAAATTCTAAAATGTTACCTGAGAGTTCGGCTAAAAATGTGCACGTAAAATCTAGATTGCTCGCCACAAACGTACACGTTAATCCAAACTTTAAACCGCAACAACTAACAGTACATATCAATCCGAATATCCATGCTAAGCCTCTGATACATATTAATCCAAAGATGATGCACGATATTTCTAATTCAAATCAAAATTTCCAAAATGTAAGCACAACAAACACTACGATACACACTACGATGCAAACAAACATAGATAACTGTACGGGGCAAACGAATGTCAAGAGGTCTATATATGTTAATCCGACATTATTGAAGAAATTATCTTCTTCCAAAGAAAAGTCGACAAATTCCAGAGAATCTGTTACGACAGAGCGACTTGTTCGCTCAAGGTTGAAGTTTGTAAAAAATATCGATAATCGAAAGATCTCGCCACGGAAGGCTAGTAGCTCCAGCATTGTACTTTTATCACGTAGGAAGCTCGTGAGAGTGTCGAAACCTCCAGAAAAATATGTAGGATTAAAAGAAAAAAAATTTGAGACAGTGTCACAGAAAATCTTGAAAGTAAAACCATCGATGAGAAATACATTACAGTCTACTAGTATGATGTCTAATTTATCAAAATTAAATGTCAGTAAATCTAATAATAAGTCTAAAGTGACCACATATAAAATAGATAGAACCATGTTACATGTACCCAAAGCTAAAGGAACCAGCCTTCCAAAAATGACAAAAGTTCTGTAAGTAACGTATACTATTAGATTTAACAAGTTATAAAATGAATTGGTTTGCAATTAGAAAGTTTATATTACAGACACGACACGAAGAAACTCGTTACTATTGGTGGTATTGTTTATAGAGCTTCCAAAAATAAATTAATTCGAAGGAATTCTGTATTGAAACGTATGTGCATTGTATTATAGTTTCATTTTATTTTTTATTATTAGTATTAAGTCTATACAGTTTTATAATTTGTAAATATGTATTCTGTTAATTTTCCTTTTGGAAATTCAGGGAAACGATCAGTCAGTGGAAAAAATGATAAATTTATTCTCACTAATAAAAAACAACAAATGGGCAAAGAAACTTTAAATAGTATGTCAGAAACGAATGTCAATAGTAAAACAAGACTTAGTTTAAATATATTTCCGAAAGCTACTTATAAAAATAGTATCAGGTACAGTAATGTATACATATAACTCTCTAAGAACTGGATTAATTATTATCAGTTTTGATACAAACCTCTTGGCTTGTTTCCAGCAATAAAGCGAAACAAAGAAGCATACGAATTCTACGAAATAAAATGCACAAGAATAACCAGCCTTGCTTAATTTACCAACGATTCGGATCTTGTCCAAATTATGAAAATGGAAAATGTGTCAAACGGCATGATAAGAAGCAGGTGTCACTGTGCAAAAAGTAAGTTAATACTTGAAACATTGAATGTATCTACCCCTTTTTTACCTAAAATTCAGCTGTTTATATTATTATTAGACAGAATTATGTCAAGCTACATACAGGATCATTTATTTTTATATAACCAGATAATTTTTGGAGAAATATACAACTTAAATAAATATATAACTTATTTTTCAAAGAATTACTTTCAAAACTTGAATAGTTTTCAAGGAGAAATAATATGGCAATCTTTCATTGCTCATAGAATTACGTCAAGATCAAGTTAGTTCATTTTTCTCAAATAAAAATCTCGTCAATCTCAATTAATTTTTATTGTGTATTTTGTAATTGATGTCAAGATGTTTACAAAACCTCTATGAGTTCTATTTAAATTTAAATCATTAAACATTTCGTTAGCAATAAAATGTGTTGTCTGGTCAGTGTGAGTCCTTACTTCTCGAAAAAAAAACAAGTTTAAACCTTCTTAAATCTTACATTCTTTTCTCAAATTATTATTATTAACATTAGTACACAATCTCTCTTGAGATAAAATTATTATTTTAATTATTACAACAATTTTGAAGTGTTTGACAAGTGCTAACGTTCATTCATATCTTTATAGTTGCAGTTGTCAATTCTTTTTCGAAAACAATCCTTTTAATGTTCATTTCTTTACAAGTTATTTATTTATATTTAATTATATTAAAATAAATCTTTGTACATATGATAACTATAACATAAAACAATAGTAAAATCTTATATGTATATCCAATGCAGTAAATTTTGTTATTTCTGATAAAGCAAGATAACAGAACAGCGAATGTTAAATGGTGTAATTTTTAAAAATATATTTAGTTTTCTGCAAGGAAGATGCTTCTTAAAGAAATGCTCTTTATCTCATGATGTTGGACCTGAGAAGATGCCTACGTGCAAGTACTTCCTCGATGGCTGTTGTACGAGAGACGCTTGTCCTTATCTTCATGTTAAAGTGTCTTCGAACACTTCAATCTGCATAGACTTTTTACAAGGATACTGTGCTAAGGGAAATAAGGTAACCGCAGTCTCTAATACTTTAACCGACTACTGTATGGTACATTATTCATATATTTATAATCTATTAATTTACGTACAACAAATATAATTTGTTTTAACGAAAATTTCTTTTAACAAGTTAAGATCTCGGATATGCAACCTGTGGGCCACAAATTAGTCATAACATTTTGTGAGACATAAATTTTTATGGCAGAGCTAATTTTTAATCAATCAAGACTGATAATGTCCGACTGTTGACATGCAAAAAGCATATAGAATATATTAAAATATAAAAATCTATTAATTGACTCGTGTAGCCTAGAGAGCCTCTCTCGTGTGTCCCGTGTGGACATGTAAATCTGAGATCGCTGACACAAAAGAAGAAAAAGATACTTTAATAAGAAGAAGTTTAAGATAATCTTTTAATTATAACTTAGAAGCCAAATATCTTATGCAAACGGCTTGTAATAATATTTTGTTAAACGCAAAGTACTGATTTGTTCTCCTATAGTGTCAACGGCGTCACGAGTATCTTTGTCCTGAATTTAACAAGTCGGGGAATTGCAGCAAAGGTGAGTGTTGTCCTTATCCTCATAAATCGCATTCTTCTAATTCCGAAAAAAGCACCAAATATTTGAGCAAGACGCATGATACGCAAAAACATCATGCAGCACTTACCACAAAGGATAATTCCGAGATCTCAAACTCGGAGGGTAGATTAAGATATTACGAAATAGCTGGTGGTTTACCTGAAGAAATTGAGAAAAAGAAAGAAATTCCAATTGCCGATCCTGTAGAACAAAGTCTAGTAAACGAGAATAAACAAAATAAATATTTAATCAAAGAAAATAAATGTGAGTTGGAGACAACGGTTTATGATCGTAATAATGCAAAAAAGAAATTTTCTATTGGCAGTTATATCCCTATTGATCATCTTTAATTTTTTTCTAAATAAGTTTTCAAGTTAATTTAAGATGATAACCATTAAATATAATTAATTGAATTATTTCACTCAAGGCATATGTGTTTGGAGATCTCATTTTTAATGATTATTATATATTCGTTAGAAAATTACATAAATCTTTCGTATAGTTATTTGAAAGCACAAAATTAAATTTACTACCGTTTTTGTTTTATAATGAAATGTTACGCTACTACATTCTATTATGGTTCATAATATTATGAATAAGTAATTTTCATGTAATACGAGTACTCTATGTGCTGTGGTATATCGAGTACTAATCCTAGGTATCTAGATCTACCTAGGATACTTGTTAACCCAATGATTGATTATCTCGGATATATTATATTACAAATAATTTATATTGTAAATTGTAAATATATATTACAAAAATATATAATAAAAGGGTAACTTTCCTATTTACAAACATTCTTTTTTTACGAATTATTTGTAATAGAAATTTTTTATCATGTATTTACGTATGTATTTATAATTTTATATAAATCTTGGAGCGATTTCCACCATACATATGCACGATAAATATCGAGAGAATAATTGTTAGCCCCGGAAAAAAATTGAAAATTTTCATATACATATATCTCGACGTAATATCTAATTGTACCTCACGTAAGATCCAATTAAAAAAATTATCATATCTTCAGAGATTTGACATTTTTCTTGAATATTCGAGATTATATATTGAGATCTAACAAAATCTAATTAGTTATAAAAATAGCCCTAATAGGATATTTAATTCGATCTCAATAAATAATAACCTCGATTATTCAAGAGAAGTGTCAGATCTCTGAAGATCTGATAATTTTAGAATTGGATATAATTAGATATTACATGATTAAGATATACATATATATAATAAAATATTTCCATTTTTTCTCGGGGTGTGAAATCAAATCTTCAGCTGGTGTGAATAAAAATAATTTGATTGTATATCTTATGATTGATAAAGTATTTAAGGCTTCTGGCACCGGTATTCATAGTCGATTCTTATTTCAAAATCATCTTAAGTGTTGTCTTAAGACGCTAATACGACTCTGTGATTGGTTGAAATCACATTAAGAGTATACTTAAGATGATCTTAAATGTAAGAACGGACTATGAATACAGACCTTAAACTTTCTGATCTACATTTCTTATTGGTTTTTGATTTATATCGAGCTAAGATATTATTTACTTGAATATCATTTACTCATTATTTGATGAACCAAACAGATAAGACGACTGCTGATTAATTAATTGGCTCGTTTTGAAGAAGAGTTAGCATAGATCTACGTGCAAATTGTTTTGTTCGAAGTATTGCTGATTCTTCTCATTATTACATTATTTTTTAGACTAGACTTGGTTCTTGTTTTCTGTCGTAATAACGAAGCTTATGTAACATCTAATTATACATAGAATAAAATTAGATTTCATATAATTTTACACAAAATGTGATAATTACGCGCGCACATATACGCATACACGTACATACATACATGACATACGTTTTATATGTATGTACATACGTATAGTTATAAAATATTTGTATATTTGGTGTATATTTAAATAAATAAAAATATAAACAGACACAAACAGTTCGTGTATTTTTTCAGCATAAACATCATATCAAACATAATATTTGTTTATACAGATAGCGAGAAATAAAGCTTTATAGTTTTCATTAAAAATTAAAAAGTGTAAATTCGCGCTTTCATCTTGCACACTATAGGATATTATTTATGTATATCCACAAATGAAAAGACAGTGGATTAATCCTAAGTGGATCAAGAATCCTAAAGCAAATTTTCGTGAAAACGGATATTATTAAAATATTTTGCAAAAACTGACAAATCTTAGAATTACTCTTTATCAGTCTTTCAATTATATATAAGAATCCAATTTGTTGAATGGTTATAAGCTAATAAAATAGGACTGTGTAATAGCAAGGATATATTACTTTGGTCAACGGATGCTGATACTATTAACCATTGTTCAAGCCAGCTTCTCATACTTTCTATGGACATATTTGCAGGATTTACACCTCTAAAGGATAGTGCCTGGAAAATAAACAATAAAATAATGTTAATATCTTTCGTGTAGGAGTGTTACATGTTGTATGAAATAATATTATAGTAAATTTTAAATTAATTTTATATATATTGTATCTAGAGCTCTTTCAAGATACAGAAAAAAAAATAGAAGTTACATTATAAAAATACTGAAGATGTATTTTCTATCTTATATAAATTACAATGAAGTAAGTAATAATAAATGATAAAAATCTTTCGTGTTACAAATGTGCACATTTTTAAATACACTAAAAGCATGAAACTAACAAAAGGTATCTACCCATCGCATCGCCTCATTAGACATTTCTTTTACTCCTCCTTCTCGTACAATAGCGCGATCCATTCGCAATATTAACATACCCCTTTCCGCCAATCTTCTCCTCTTGAAAGGTTTCCATACTGACATACCGTGTATCGCCAATAACTCTTTCTGAAATACACATCTCCGTGTTACAGCAAGCACTCTCGGTGAACAGACTCATGTTAACAAGTAACGAGTGCAACGACTTACTAGGTGTTTTCTCTTGAGATTACCGAGAGAATACGGTGGGCCTGAAAAGAGCTTGGAACAAACTACGATATTCTTGGTGGTTGGATGCGTGCCGCTTCCTAAGCAGGCGATAGCGTCGCGCCATTTAATTCTGAGCGCCTCGTTCTTGATGCCCTTGAGCTCCGCTTGCATGCACCTAAACAGCGATCTGTTGTGCTTCAGCCTCGCCTTGTGGCCGGACAGCATGAATTCCAGTTTCTGCTGCAGCGTCCAGAAGTGCGACGTCAGTAAATAGCGCGGAAAGTACAGGGCTAGAGGGAAAATGACGTAATTCGTGAACGGAACAGCCGAGAGCAGGAACAGCGGCGAGAGCTTCCAGAGATCCTTGGGCATTGTGTGCACCAGCTGCAGCTCCTCCCGCGTCAGGCTCTCCACGCCGTTCAACGTTTGCTTCTTTCTCGCGGTGATAAACCTCTTAAGGTCCATGTACACATCTTTGCTGCCAACGCTGAACACACGGTACACCTGCATCGTACGCGGAAACTTTTGCTCCAGCGTGCGCTCGTAGTTTTTGATGTAATTTATGTACTTGCCGAACCAGAACTGTTTAAGGTGGGCTACTTTGCCCGACCTTTCCGTCCCGTTGGCCGCCTTCACGAGACCCCGTTGTATCGGGGTGCGCATTAGAGGCTCCAATGTGTTCCTGCCTTTGCGCACAAGTGTCCTGGATATTATCTTGTACATTTTAAGATCGGTTCCTCACCAGAAAGGCGAACGGCATCTCATGGGATCGGTTAGCCTGAAAAACCCTTTCCGTCCGAACCACTTCTGAAAATTGCCAACCCCAGGAAAATCGTCAAGGTGTGCTCCTTCATGTTACTAAAGCTTGATTTAGCATAATTGCCTAAAAAAAATTATATTCATAATTATTTATGATCGTAAACATACGCAGTCACGTGCCTCCTAGCTTGACACATTCGGATATTTTTAGTAACTGCGCGCATTACCGATATTTTTAATTTTTTTTCAAATTACTCCTGCCAGAAAGTAAAGCCCGTTGCAGACGATATGCTATTTTTCCTGTGCTGGATTGCTTGCGATCTAATAAATTACTATCGTTTTCGCCCGGCTGATTCGCGGCGCCTTACAACCATTTTCATTTTTGGAACTATTACGTTATATTTTCAAGCACTGCCGATAAAGTCTCCACTTGGCGGGTAATGCAGTGCCCAATTTTGGTTGCGTTCCGTGCTGCATGCATGAAATGTCGGTAACACGAGAGTGTTATTGATTTTTCGTAACGCGAGTAATCGGAGTAATCGTTGCGATTGTATTTTGAGAGACATAATTAGATATTACACGATTGAAATATACAGCTGATGGTGCCGACTCGGTATCAATCAATCTACTGAGGAGAGAACGTAAACGTAGCGCATTCGAACGTGTCCCTGATCGCGGACGATTATTGAGGAGAGCGGATTCTCCGTCGATGAGCCGACCATGACGGAGTGGTACCAAGCGAGGATTCTGCGTCTGTGCGAATTGGACAATGCCGAGGACAAGAGGAACGTTCTCACGGACATCAAGCTCAAATTCGGCGCCCTGAATAACCGGGACGCCGAGCAGGTCGCCCGCGGCCTGGACTACGGGCCGCTCTATTCGCAGCTAACCTCCAACGACAGGTATGTACGATGACGGGTGAAATTTCTGCGAGTCTCACGGACGATAATTTATGCGTGTGCACACTGCACATACGTATATACTGTTAAAAAGAGCACACGCGAGGAGAGAATCGCGTTATCCGGGTGGTAATATTTTTTACTGATATAGAATTCGGTTGAGATTGAACGTCTCTTTCAGCTGACCCCGTTTCGTTGTCATTTACGCAATATCTCGATAAAACTTCAGAGAAAAGTTATTTCAACAATTTTTTTGTTAAAAAGTAACGCAGCTCTTAAATTTCATAATATCTAAAAGATATTTGATCTTTTTTTTTAACAATATACCATAGCTCATAAAGTTCTTCAAAATACCATGTTGTCCCACGATTACTTTATTTTTAGGGTAAATTTTCAAAGAAAATTCTGTCCGTGTAGATATGAAATTGAAGATGAATCTTTCTATGTTAGTCGGACAAAAGTGACAGGTTTTTTTTTGCAGAATAGCATTCAATTTGTTTCTGTTCAGCAACTTCTCACAAGCAACAATAACAGTTCTAGCTGCGTAGCATTTGTAAAATTCTTGATGATCATTTGATTGAATTTATTTTGCTTCTCGTATCGACTGCGTAATATAACGCTCTTGAGATCTGCTACCAAGAGCTCAAAGAATTCTGCTTTTCGTTCTTTCTACAGAGAAGTCGTAGAGCAGATATGCGACCTTCTGACCATTTTGTTCGGCCTGCTGGAACCTGGGGAGATTTATCAGAAGTATTTGGTCGAAGTGTCCACTCTGATAACCAATCCAAATGCCAGCGTGAGATTACTCGTGCTGCGCGAGTTTCTGCGTACGGCCTTGCATCCGCAAAAGATATTTGAGCTGCTCGCGGACACCACTCTTCTCATCTCAATTGTAACGAGAATCGGCGACAACGACTTGAACGTCGCCGAATGCGCGATGAGCGTGGTGAAGAAGATTGGAGAAAATCCAAACGGCTTGCACATCCTGTACAAGGGCGAGCTCCTTAGAACGTTCGCCAGGCTGCTGCAGAACGACGCCATTAGCTTTCGCGTTTACGAAGTGATCGTGGACATTGCCAAGACGTCTCAAGAGGCGCTCGAGATATCGGCCCAATCGGGCTTTTTGAACAGTTTGATCAACATACTGGAGAACGAGGACATACTGCTCCAATTGAATGCCCTGGAGATACTGACTCAACTAGCCGTGTTCGAGGAGGGCCTGAGTTATCTAGAGCAGCAAGAGGTGCTGAGCAAGCTCGTCCAGAAAATAGCGCAAGTCAACGAGAATCCCCTGTCGAACCTTCTGATCCCCGGATTGATGAAGTTCTTTGGTAACGTCGCGCGTCACTGGCCCAACGAGTTATTCTCCAGATATCCCGTGATAATCTCCGCGCTCTTCGACGTGATAGACAGCGGGGATCAGAATATCCTGGGTCCCGCGTTGGATACATTGGGATTTGTGTCCGCGAGCATCGAGGGCAAGTACGCGTTGCAGGCCCTGGGGGACGCGATGCCGAGCGCCCTTAAGAAAATCGCCGAGATAGTGCAGAGAATGCCCACTGCTCTGAGAATTCGCGGCTTAAACAATCTCGCCCTCATACTCGAGGTCAAGAGAGTCGAGCAGGACAATCGAATTTTGTCCCTGACGAAGCTGTGGTTCGACTCGCTCTGCGACGATCCATTGGGTATGATCGTGGCGATGTGCAGACAACCGTTTGCTGATATCAGACAGGCTGGTCTGGAAGTGCTGGCGGTTATTAGTCCACAAGTGTGGGGGCAAGAATACATATCCACGTATCCTGGCCTAGTAGAGTTCCTATTAGATAGAAATATCGAATCATTTAAAGAGTGCAAGGATGCGAAATACCAAGTTGTCAAGTGTTTGTCTCAAGCGGAACGGGATATATTCGACGCGGATACCATGCAGAAATTCAAGCAGTTCGTTAACGAGGGTCCATACTTTGTCGATGTTAATACGGAAGTCGCGATTGAAGGTGCTTTGTAAAGCAACGGGGAATAAACTGTACACATTCAATATTAAACATTATGTTAGGCATAACATGATGACATGAGCAACTTCAGTGAGGGACAGAAATATTTATTTTTCATTTTATTCGTAAGCGAAAGGTTAGTACCACAGAAGGTTGGTCTTTATTCGACGTTCTTGTATTTAAGTACAAATAAGCCAACGTTATTGAAATACCTACGTTTAGTCTCTTTTTTTCCGAGCGGTTCTCCTCATTAACGAAACATTATCGACATTATATAACTGGAATTTATATACAAAGAGAAATAATTTATTTTATATCTAGCGATACACAAAAGGATCTACATTGTTACATATTTGAAACAAATCAAATAAATGGTATTAAAATACATGCGTATATATGTATTAATGTTCGCGATATTTTATCATTGTTCTTCGCGGATTTACGAAATTTATACGTAATGTGTAAATAAGATCATATAAATAATTGCACGGGCATATGATGTGCGTTAAATATACTTTAATCTCTATTGTATACGTTTCCGCTTTTTCGGTGAGATAATTTTCAGCATGCTGACCACCGGTGCTTCAAAGGCGACCGACACTACAAACGACAACGCATACGACAGCACTAGCTGCCCCAGGAAGGTTATCATCTGAAAAATAAAAAGTTCTTTATACGACAATCCGCTGTTGATTTGTTTCCTCGGTCGCAAACTTACCATTACGTCCTTCCCTAGATGAAACGGAGAGTCTAGATTCATAGCGGTTAGACGAATCACAAGCGGATGAACTAGGTAAGAGCAGTAAGTCACTCTGCTGAACGGGTACAAGAGCGGCCACGATAGAATCTTATTAACGTATCCTGCAACACGGCCCCAGTTTGATGTCTCAGTGTAGCCCAATTAATTAGTTTCATTACAATTAATCCAATGATTTCTCACCACCGTAGCCGGTACTACACGCTATTACGATCCACGCTAGACCTAGCGCCCATGCACTGTGACTCAAGGATGAATAAGCAGCTGCGGTAACGGGTGCAAGTTCCGCCTCATAGAGACCGTAAAGCAAACTCAAGAGACACGCGGACGACAGGAGCCACCCCACGACGACGGTAGTCTAGAAATGATAACGTCTCAAATCTTTCTCCAAGTAATGGAAGCTAAGTTTTTAAATTTTGCGTCTCGAAGAGGAATGTTCAGACCAAGTAAATGTCTCTGAACTAGACTTTTAAGGAACGTTCAAATGTCGAGTTCTTTTAGACACGCCCATTGAATCTTGCTCACTCTTGGAATTTTTGTTTTTATCGATCGTACCTTAGACATTTTCACTTTGCAATCAGTCTTAAAGAGAAAGTAGCCGACGGTCATGCCAATCAGATAGGGACCCAGTCTCGTCCATGGCTTGTCGTAGATCTTGTCGAAGAGGGCCAGCGGATCGTCCAAGCTCGGCATGTGATTATTAACTAGAGCGATGTAGCCAGTGGTTACCCATGAGCTTATTAACAGACTGACTAACGCGAAAGCTGCGATTTTGAAGTGATTCGTAGCCAGTATCAAAATCACCCCACCCACGATATAGAATTGCGTATCGTCTGCTAAATACCAACTCCAAAGCATACACTGTAAAATTAACAACATAAACTTACTTGGAGGTAAAGCAAGATTTAAAAATCTACAAAACGGAGTGAATTAAAAACAGATTAAATTAAAATTAGAGAGATTAATAGCATAAAATTGAATTATTATTGAGCCAACATTCTTGAAACATTGGAAATTCTGAATTCTATTCTAAGGAATAAGTAAAGTGAGACGCACCATTTGATCGACGGGAAACCAAGTATTGATATAGAGCAAATTTCTCCACCAATAATTGGGGCAATTATAATGATCTGCTGTGGGAGGTTCAAAAACGGAATTTGTGTAGAAATACTTCATCGAGATCTCGACTACACCCAGCACGAACATGTACGGCGTGGTGAGCCTACAAAATCGGTATACAAGAAGCCCGACGAATTTCAGAGTGCCTGCGGCGAAGCCTCGTGTGCCCTGCGTGAGTCTCTTAAGATCCCCCTTGGCGTTGGTTCTAAAATACAGAAAGCTCACAAGCAAACCGCCCATAAAGAAAAATGTATCGACGCTGAAGGCCCCGTTTGTGATGGTCTGGAAGAGGAATCGCTTCTCCACCACTTTACGATATTCCATGTTGTCCGAGTATTTAAAAACGATAATGCACGTATGCCCGAGGATGACCCAGGCCATCGATATTGCTCTGAGCCCGTGTACGGTGCTAATTGTGTCTCTGCCCACGTTACGGTCGCAGATAATCTTCACGTTAGCGGTAACGGAAAAAGAGAGCAGAAGTTCCTCGAAGGTACCTGCAAAAATAATAGGAAGATTGAAAAGGTCAATCAAGAAGAAAATAATTATTACATTATTTTCTTCCTGATTTGGAATAAAATTACATGATTATAAGTAAACTCCTATCTCTCTGTCCGTTAAATGTATTCGTTGCGATACAATAAGCCTCATCAATCTATAGATTTCCATTTTTTACTTTCTCTCTGTTCTCATTAATTATTAATAATTCTTTTTACAACTTCATCTTTCAAGTTAATCGTTATAGGAATATCTAATTTCTCTTATTTCTATGCAAAAGAAATATTAAATATCCAAGTTCGCAAACTAGATTTCTTGCGATTCGTTTTAACTCGTCTGTTTTTTATGGAAATGATACTTTCACTTCGGAAATACTTAAAGGAGGATAAGACGAAAGAGTTTAACGTACTAAGATGTTGCTCCTCTTTGGTAGACTGTTGCAAATCGTTTTCGCGACCGTTGTTATTATTAATTGACTGCGTGCCGTTGTTACTAGCATCTGCCACTGGAACAGGAAGGTAGACCTTACCTTGAACAGCTACGGAATACAATAACAAAATCGTGTGACTACTTTTAATACCGTCCTTGTCTTGTCTTGGTAGTCTGTAAGTGGTGGTCGTGCATTATATTAGTCTGCATTTTTAACGTACGAGATGCTCATTGCTACGAGATGTTAATCACTTTTAAAAAATTACATTGTTTTTCAAAGTTACTACAGTATGAGTTAGTACCATGACAGTGAATTAACAGTGACTTTCTTCCTCAGGTGTAAAACAGTTATTATATTATTGAAAGTAAGTCTGTGTCGCATCTCGTTTTATAATTTATTCGTCTTATTCGTCTTATTTAATTTGTTGAACTCTTGTGTCAGTAATTTTCACGTAATTTTCAGTTTACGATATCTTCAAAATTTCTTGCACTTTTTTCTATCTACATAATTTCTTATTTTTCCCGAATAGATTTTTCTTTAATAAAGATGTCGATAGTACGTTTCGAGATTAATACCAATTTTCATATGAATTAAGCTCCATGCTTGTACATTATTAGTAAAACCTTAATATTATACGTTATGCAATTTTAAACACATCTTACACTTAAAAACCTTTAGTTTCAAACAGTCATAGAAAGCTATAAAGAAATGTTCAATATTTAGTACGTAAAATGTGGGGATGAAAACAAATTTTCATTTAAAAAATTTCATTTTAAATTGAAAGGTCTATGCACGCGTAAAATAAACAGTCTACAACATTTCTTCATAAAGAACAGGAAATAAATCTCTATTATTTTAATGTTTTTATATTATCTCGTTTCAAAAAAACATTTTCATTATATTTATATTATCTATTATATATTATGTTAATGTTATCTCTAATAATATAATAACAAATAGTTAAAAAATTCTTGGACATGAACATTGACTCGTTTACCATTTATGACCTTCCGATCACCATTAGCAAGATGATCGAGTTTCCCATGCTTTTCCAAATCGTAGATTACATTTCTCTTACGGGCTAGCTTTCTCGTTAGATAATAATCGTATCCAGTGCCAAGAATCATCAGTATCGAGACCACTACGCTAACTCCGCTGAAATACATGGAATTCTTGTTTTTGAGTCTGTTCGTTTACGTATATTTAATCAGTAATCAAAAAGATATTAATTCTTATTATTGAATATATAATAATGTTAACAAAAGCTCTCCACGCGCGCGCGCGCGTATGTGTGTGTGTACTTACATACAATTTTTTTATTTTTGCAAAATATGACTCGTTTTTCTTGTGATAATCATCCAAGCAGAAAAAGAAGTTATGATGGAATCAAAATGACATCATTTTGATATTCTCATGATCGAGAATCGAGTGTTACTTGGAAAATAGTCAAGTACACTTTGCAAACAGCCAAGCGTCCTTCTCTCGTATACTTACGATAAAACCCAGAAAACCGGATCTGCGTACATATCGTACGAGTCGTGCTGATCTCTGACGTTTTCAATTGTCGAGTGCTTCATTGCAAATTCGCTTGCGGCGAGTTTCCCGATCACGGCTACGTCGGACGCACTACACGAGAACGGCAGGCAAACACCCAGGTGAATCAGTCTTGTCTGAAACAAGAACAAGAACAATTTATAATTTGTTATAATTTTCAAAGGTGCAAGATTCTTCTCTGAGATGCTTCCTTAAAAAGAAGTAGGTAATGACGACAATTTGGTGGAAAGCATAGTATACCTTAGTTTTTTATAACTGTATGTTATATTTGTAATAAAACTTTTTTTTGGACTTTTTTGATAGGCGTATATTAAAAATCAGTTATACAAACATTAAATATATAATACAAACACTTTTGTAAAATATCGACTTCTTTTCTACCAAGTTTTTATAAAAATGTTACGTTTGTAAAACAGGGAATTTTGTATCTTTTTAGACTCTAAAGTATTATAGATCATTATTTTCACATTTCTTCATATTTTAATATATAATATTATTAATACATTTCATTAAAATTTATTTATATTAAATCTTAATATAAAAATTTTATGAACAATGGTGCATTCCATCAATTTTGTGTGTGTGTGTGTGTGTGTGTGTGTTTGCGTGCGTGCGTGCGTGTGTGTGAGAGATAAAAAATAAATATATAATAAATTAAAATAGAAAACGTTCAAGATTAATTTATAGTTATGCATATAAATTTGTTTAGCACGTTGATGATACTTACTGGTGTATAAGATACGTTTATAGAAAGTTTTAGCATATAAAATCCCAGTTGAAAAGGCATTTCGATAGGATTTGTTTGATCAGTCCAGACACTGGCTCCGCTAAATCCCGTATTGAGTTTTCTTCGTGACTCCATATGAATTTTCTCGAATGTAGAAACTTTGGTATCTTTTACGTGTTGTTTTGAATACGTTTGGTGCGATGGGTTCTCCCCGATATAATCGCATTCGGTAGCTGACCCCGTAAAATAAGAATTACCCCAGAAAAATCCGTTGGTGAATCTACCGGATGCATCATCAACTGAAAGAAGAAGTAATTTATCAGTAATGAATGTTATTGCATGTCTTATATTTTAAATAAAAAATAACTTTAGAAAATTTAAATAATCAAGGAATATAAACGACCTAGGCTGGCAAATCTCTTTATTTAATAAATTACGACGTTTCGGCCAGTAATACTAGCCCTTTTCAAGTATGACTTATGCTAACCTTATCGATTGTTGCAGCAAAAGATCGGAGACAAGTCGTAGTACATATAAATTAAATATAAAACCATCAGAATAATAAAATTCATTACAACACTCTGTGCACCAACACATAAATGTCTAGTCAGATATAAAGTCACAGGGAAACAGAGGAAGATTTTTGGTTTTAAAAGCATTGAAAATCTTAAAATTTCAAGATGAAAGTTGCGGTGCGTGAAAGTTGTAAAAAGGAAACGTTTCGCTGTAGATAACACAATATATAAATGAAACAATGAGCAATACCACGGCGAAATGTTGCGGCACGTAACATCGTTCATAAATTAGTCAGCCGCATTAGCCGGTTATTATCTAATACGAAAATTAGTAATCTTTGCTTTAAATGCCGGGACGCGGTGCGTAATTTCTATCTGATTAAATAACCGGGCTGCGTAATCGTGTCGTACGCGTTCGCGCGCGAGCACACGCGAGCTTTTTTCGCGAGTGATGCAATAAAGTATCCTTGTTTTATCGTGAACAACGTAACGCAATCGGCGATCGTCATCGGGAAGGCGCGAAGAACGGCGAGGCTTACGTTCGCAGCGGCTTCAACGAAGCACATACTTTCTATTCAGGAAGTAAAAGATATTATCTAATCGTCAGTACAGCGGCGGATTTACGAGTTTGCATTACATAGGTTTTCAGCTTGATCGCGATCCCGTTACATCACTCGCGGCTGCACGCGTTGCGGCTGCAGCTGCGGTCAGCGTCATCGATGTTTCTCGTGCGCGCCGGCAAGACTTTATCTCGGATACTTTTCAGTATTTCGTTCCTGTCTTTCACTTTTCTCTGCTTTCGACTCGGCCAAATTTTACGATGTTTACACAGTGCGATGTCATGTTTTGGTAACTGTTTCTTTCAAATCTCGTTTGTCAAGGACTGGATAATGCGAACATTTATGATTATTAAATAAGAATGGTGGTAAATGATATCCAAGGAATTGTTACTTTTAATTTAAAACAATCTTCTAGTAGTCCGTTGATTATACTTTTTTGTTTCCCCGAGGAACGCTAGTAATAAAATTATCTTAAGAATTTTAATTCAGTAGGGGAAAGGGTAAATTTATAATGCTAAGTATAGCATTAAAATTAAATTAAAATAATGTACAAAAATCGCTCAGTGATTTTTAGAACACGTGAATTCACTGACGAAAATGATCCCAACTAGGGGAAAATCTGTGTTATATGTCCGATAGTAACGGCGCGCAGTACAAGGTAGGAAAATACGGTATATGGATTCACTTAGTAATATAATGGCCACCACCTTGCCAAGGTCCTAAAAATGGCCTTTAAGTTTCAGTTTGATTAATAAAATTATCTCTCTTAAAAAACATGCTTACATTGGAAATTGGATATATTTTGTATGTGTGTATATCTGTGTATTTTTAATTTTATTTGTAATATTAAAATATAACTTTCTGTTTTCCTTGGATTGGTACAGAGTGTTATTAGTATAATGCAATTCAATTTTAATTTAAACAGAAAAAATACTACTTTTATCAATTATAACGGTAATTATACAATTTTTTTAAGTGTGAAATGAAGTTGAATAATAATTATTAATTTGTTTAAATATTTTGATTTTGTAATTTAATAAACAAACTTGATTTGAACTTTATAGTCTATTCCACCATGTCTATCATTTTTCTGGAAAAAATTTATTAAGAAATATTTATCTTTACTAAAGTTGTGCATTATTATAATGAAAACTTTGAGTTTTTATGAAAAAATTTTATAAATCTTAGAAAGAAGTAGTAAAAATAAAAGAAAAATTAGTGAGATTTCATATCTTTTCAATTTTTCGATTTCAATAGGCTTTCACTTACCGTTCATTGACATTCACTGCCACGGTTTAATGAATCGTGACACAATGCGAAATTATATTGTCATTAGCATAACAATAAATTTTGCGTCGTGATTCAATTTCATTGCATTCTAAAGTCAAGTTCAGGCCTTGCAGTTCGATTTACTTCCGTATATAACATAAATGTGCAATTTTACATTTCATTAAATCTTGGAGAAAATTGTGGTAATGCCATTTCATAGTTTATTCATCATTCGTGCAGCGGATAATTTGCAATATTAAATTGCTTTAAGCTTTGCAAAACAAAATTTATCAAATATCAGGCGAGATATTCCATACAGCACCGAAGCTTTCAGAAACATTTCAGAAACATTGAAACATTGCAATAAGTAATGTTTTCTGAAATGTTTCTGAAAGCTTTGGTGCTGTATGGGATAGTTATTGGCAATTTTAGGGAGAGGGAGAGAGAGAGAGAGAGAGAGAGAGACTCTTGTCCACAAATTAAATTATTTAAATTCGCCATTATAAAATCTAAAACCTGTCTAAACCACTTAAAACTTTACTACTTAGACTATTTTATGATAATTTTACAAAAATTTGTATCTATTAAAAGTGGCCGTGAAGAGGTAAAAGACGATGCCCATACTGGAAGGCCAACAACATAAAAAATCAGCCTGAATTGTGAAAAGACAACTTATCGATTGTCCATCACGATAATGCGCCAGCTCACAATACGCTCATTATTCGTGAACATTTGGCCAAAAACAACACAAACACTATCCAACAATCGCTAAATTCACCTGATCTCGCACCGTGTGACTTCTTTCTATTCGATCGACTAAAAAAACCACTACGGGGGCAGCGTTTCGAGAGCAAAGAAGCCATATAAAGTAAAATTCGCTGGAAGTACTGATGGCCATACCAAAGAAAGTTTCAAAAGTGTTTTGAAAGTTGGGAAAAGCGTTGGTTATTGTTCAAGGTGGTATATAAAAATTATATGCATACATATGTATAGTTGCAAAATTTTTCTTATGATCTTAAAATATTATATATATATATATTTACTTGTTAGTAATCTATCATTGCTTCTCAATAATATACTCAATAAAACATTTTTTATCGGGTCTTGGTTAACTGTTTTAAATTCTGAATGTTAATATTTACGAATACAAGGAGAGAATTCTTAGATTACCAAATGATATTTAATTTAAGTATATCTCACCCCGAAAGTTTCAGGTACACGTTAATTATTTTATTGTCGGGTTTTCAGTGAATTTCGTAAACAGGAAGAAAAAGGCCAGCCAGTAAATGTTACACTTACATATACCGACGCTCGAGTATCGAAAGTTACAAAAGAAAGTGAACGCGCGAAGATAATGACATTGCACTTTGCCATACGTGTTTCTCTTAAACGGAATTTTGAAAGATATTTTAAGAGCCAGAATTATCTCATTGCCTAATTTATGAGACATCAACATTCCACATTTTTGCAACATATCACCGTTACTTATTAATAGGCAATTGCGTAATGAGAAGTCAAAGTCGTATTTGTGACGTAAGATCGTATACATTAGCTCGTAAATGTGGCAATAGAAATTATTTCGAATATAGAGATCCAATTCAAACGACGATGCCTCTAGAATCATTAAGTTAAGTGATGTAATTGGGACCCACAAACTTGTCGTTGGATTACACAGAATATTCAACTGTACATTGCACATTTTAATTTAATCTTTACAATATAATAATAACAATAGTAATTTAGTAATCATTTAGTCGTCAGTAATAATAATTTAATTAAGAATTAGACATGTATTTAATGTTCTACGAGAGAACACGCGTTAAACATTTTATTCAACTAAAATATATTCATCTCTTCTGCTTTTGCATATGTGCTTTTCATATTTTTCTTGCTTACCTTTTGCTAATAAATGTGTGTGTCACAACTATATGTAGCGGAGAAAGTGATTCAGAAAGAGAAACGCGTTTGCATACCTGATTGGTATGATAGTGTTGTAATGTCGAATTGGCATTGGCAATATTAACGTCCGTTTGGCATTGGATTACATTTTTATATTGACAGAGATTGCACTAAGGATTTCAAGTAATCGTCCTCGATTATTAATTCAAAAATAAAGCACGCGGTTTTTTTGTTTCACGCAACGTTTTAGTGAAAGTGTCCAACCTGTTTGATCAGAATTCAGATAGATTATTACGGATATCTTTGGGACTTTGATTTTGAATACAAATTCTATTTTCTTAATTTAAAATCTTCTCGACCTTACCATACGAAATGTACCTCATACTTCTTTTCTTTAGAAGAAAAACAAATTTTTAATTAATTGCGTGACGGGTTTCTTGTGAATGTCAAATAAAAAGTTTGTCGTACCTATTCGTACAGAATATTTAATGGATTTTATATGGCCACATTTTAGAAAGCTTAATAATTTATATTAATGTTCCTCTTCTAATTACAGGTAATTACAAGATAACACCGTACGATTAAGTCGATAAAATCGTAGGTTTAAATGTATGATGCAAAGATAACTTCAAAGAAACTCTCAAACAAGTCAACGTTTTTTTAACAATATATTTAACTGTTGAAAATAAAGTTTCATTAAATCTCGTATTTAAAAAAATTAGAAACCGATTCGTAGCTTATCTTGTAACTTGTTGATATCTTCGTAAGCTTATCGAGTCACGGTGCAAGATGTTATTTCGCTCGTATTACAAATCCAAGAATCGAATTAGAATACTGGAAAAATCAGCAGAAGAGAATTAAAATTGAGTAAGTAAATTTAGTCGTACAATTCTTTTATCTTTTTACGATTTTTTTTTACAACACGGGATAACGGATTTATCACTCGACGATTCGCGAGCGCGATACAAGCGAGGATGCGGATTCTAAAACATGCGCGCGCCGAAGAGATGCGGTAACTTTCTTTTTCTGACATACGCAGAAATGTAATAACCTCGA